GGCCTCCTCGTCTTCACCTCCACCCTCCTCTTCACCGTCGCCTTCTTCCTCCTCTTCCTCCTCCTCCTCGCCTTCTTCCTCTTCTTCGTCTACCTCACTCTCAGCCTCCTGATCCCCATTTTCCTCATTAGCGTTCCCGTTAGCTGGGGCATCTCTTCCGTTCTCCGCCTCCTCCACAACTTCCTTCTTCTCCTTCAAGTCCTTGATGGTGATCTCGGAGCTAGAGTCCACGGCCGCGTCTGACATGGTGGGGCACGCCGCTGATCCGATGCAACGGATTAAAAAGAAAGTGAGAGTTTGGGGACCCTGGCGATAAAGCTGCCAGAACCGGTGGCGGCAGAGGAGGCACGTGGTGGAGGCCTCTACAGCATTCGGAAGCCTGACCGGGAAACAATGCAAAGATGGCTTCTCATAGCAGCCAGTGGGGGATCTCTCTCTTTTAACACTTTCTCTCACTTCCACTTTTTACACTTTCTCTCATCAAGGACAGTAAGTTTTGTGCAGAATTCTCATCCCATTTTTGGTTTCTTTCTCTTTTGTTTTAGAAGAACATTTGGGATATAAGAGACTATGGTGCTGCCATTGTCCTCAGCAACCCAGGAGTAGACTGATTTCCTTGGAGTGCTTTGATCCCCATGTCTCCCCTACCCCCCCATCACTTGTCAGGGTCTCAGAACAACCCCTTCAGGTCCCTATCCTGGCAGAGCAGGACCATAATGATGAGGTTTCTCTTCCTCTGTAATTACACTACTTTCCCCATTATGTCCAAAGCCAAGTCCTCTACTCACTCTGTCCTCTGGCTCCAGGAGGTGAGCACATACGATGCTGCCAAGAGGACTTCTGGGTTCACACTGAGCCTGCAACTCCTTATGGATCCACTTGCAGCCTTTCGTGGTTTTCCCACAAGGTGTTGATGCCCAGCAGCAGCATTCAGTACACATCCTCAGAGACCATTTCCTGACTCTTCCTCAAATGTCTGCTGCCACAGAATTCCATCCCAGGGCAGGTCCAGGGAAAGCTCTCACAATTGCACTCCTGTGACCCCAGTCTCACAGCCCGACTCACCACGTATGGTGGGTCATCCTTGCCAGACAGGCGTGATGATCAGGTTATAAATATACATTCTCTCTCCACCCTTTATCTTAAGGACAAGTGGCAGCCTGAGATAGAGTAAGAACTAGGACCTCTTCACTGTCCTTCTGCTATGGGGTGGAACTAGAGAAGGATGCTGGCTTTAAAACTTCACAATTGTAACAGCCCCAGCGAGCCTCAGATGGCGTATGTGGGAGGCCTCATGGAACAGTCCCAGGTCACCTGCACTAATACTTATCTTTTGATTTCCAGGTACAGAGTCACCTACTTCTATTCTCATAGCTCTACTCCTGGTCCCCAAAGTGCTGCTGGCAGTCAGTGTCTCTGCTGTCCACATCCATAAGAAGTGGAAGGACAGACAATAAGTTGTGGGTGAGGTAGGGGTGCCAAGGGCTCAAGGCCTCAACGAGAATGAAGACATTAAGAAGCTTCAATCTACTCTGTCCAAGCAGCTTCCCTCCCAGGACATATGACCACCCACAGCTCCTGTGACCCCCGTCTCACAGTCCTTGATGCTCCAGAGTTGGGTTTCACCCATGCATCTGAGCAGGGGCTCTGGTGCCTCATCCTGGGACCAACCCAGGACACCTCCCTTGATTGTTGGGATCAAGCCTGGTATAACACATCAGCCTATTTCTCATCTAGCCGTCTGGGTTTGGCTCTCAGGAGTTGCCTGTCTTTTGGATTCCTGCCTCCCCCAATACCTGGCCCTGTTGAGTTCTCCGTTGCCTCTTAATACAAGTGAACCTGCATCCCAGTTGTTAAGAACAGTAAGTGTTCACTTTTCAGTTTGTTGAAGTGGCCTTCTCCTCACACCAGAAAGAAACTTTTCCTACTCTACTCATGATGAGTGAACTAGTTCTTCTCTGCTCCTTCATCCTTCCCAGTTCTATGGCTCATGGTTTCAA